TTTCCCTACCCAAAAGCCCTGAGCATAACAATGCTACTGAACACATACTTACCACTGCTTGGTGCCAGTGCAAGACCCTTTATGACATAAGTCTTACAGAGCAGAGAAGAGTAAATGTTACGATTAAAGCCATCAACAACTGAGCTGAGAGGCCATTGGGTTGGGAAAGAGCCCCAATCAATGCCTGGAAGGTAAGTGGTATTTTTCTTTCCCTGCTCAATCCAGTCTTTTTCTTGTAAGGGCTTTTCCTGTCACTATTGACCCTGTTTTCCCATTTCTGTGAGTATGAAAACATTAGTTGCAAAACAGGAAGAGTTCAACAAATTCTTGTAGCAGGAATTGGGCAAGAAAATAACGGGTAGTCATATTCTGTCTATGGCCAGGGTTTCAGGCTGTTCCAAACTTACTCTTATACAGAGATGCACACACTATAGAAATGCAGTTAGAAACAAATATATTTAAAACCATTACAAATATCACGTGAACAAGTAATTTCTGGGCATCCTATTATTATACACAGGCTCTTTTTTGCCAAAGCATTTTATTATGTTATTTTGAAAATTGTCACTCTGCAGAGTCAAAGCCTAATAGGTTCTTTATCAGAAAGGAGGGCTGGATAAATATATTTTCATCTCGTCATAAGTCTCCTGGCTTCATACCAGCACTTGTTTCTGAAAAGTAAAAGCAGTTAAATCCAAGATTCCACATTATCAAGCAATACCAGACCAGCCTTCTATGATAAAGGGTTTGGGCCCTGATCACCTTCTCTTAATTCAATACATAACAAGAGTTAGGGTTATTACAAACAGAATTAAACTGACTTACAAGTATTTTTGGAACTAAAACTGTGAAAGAGATACTACAGTAGTTTGTTTGTTTGTTTTTTTACAGTGAAACAAACTCATACTGATTAAATACGCCACATACTAAATCACTACATTCAGGCTAAAGAAAAGGCATGCTAATTTGGGCATCAATACCAAACATTTTATATATGCATAACTCCTATGAAAGCACATTTTGTTTGTATAAAAATACTGTCTCAGTTCAGTTTTTATAGAAAGAGGAAAAAAATCCAAGCAGAAAAACAGTTAGCTTTAAAGCAGGCTATCAAGCTCCCCAAATTCAGGGCTGTGGAGGCTCAGGTCTTGTCTTGGTTCATCTTAGAAGACATTTCTGAAAGTCAAAATTGGTTCAGATTTAGAACTTGTGCTTGCACCCTCAATTTTGAGATATTTGAATTCTGAACATTGATCCAGGCTCACCTCCAGAGCTTTTATCTTACTTCATAGACTTTCACTATTGATTAAAACAGCAGGTCAAATCCTGGAGTAGAAGGCATTATTAAGAGTATTAGTAAATTATGATCTGAGAATAACTTCCAACCCATTACAGCAAATATTAATGAACTCTTTTTTTAACTTTAAGTTGTTCTTTGTAAGGAAACCATGATATCCTTTTTACATTGGTTCAATAATATGACAAACAAAAAAACCCCTGTTATTTGTTACTTTTTTTAGTATCATAAGGTTTTTGGAAATTTGGTGTATAGATATAATAGAAACGAAAGAAGGAAAGGAAGAAAAGAAAGAAAAAAGTAATGGAACTGGAGATCATGTTCAACGTAAAGTTTATTTTGTGCTTTGGAATGAGCAACTTTGTAAAAGAAATGTAAGATTTTTATTACTGATAACTGTGCAAATCTGAATCCTAAAAATTGTATTGTTTTGTTCTCTTTTACAGTAAATGAGGGAGGTATTAAACAGGCATCCAATTTGTGTCCAGATCCTGGAGAACCAGAAAATGGAAAACGCATAGGCTCAGATTTTAGGTAAAATATTGACCCTTCCATTGTATTACTTTAACAATGTTGAAAATGTTGAAAATTAGCTGAAAATATACTTTTTGTAAAATATAGTCAAACCATCACACCATTCTTTATAAACAATTTATCAGTGGGGAATTCTATCAGAAATTAGATGGTGCAATATAGGCTACTACATTTATAATTTAGTACCAAAGACAAGATTCTCTCTGATGTACTTGGAAATGATGTGCATACGTGGGATGCTGTGAGAAATTCAACTGAAGAAGGTTGGATTTTTTTTTTCAATTCAATAAGTAGTTATCTTGTGTATAAAAATGGGCACTTTTTAGGGCATGGTGTGGAGAGGATAGGAGGAGAATGAATTTAGAATGGAGACTGAAGAGGAAAGGAAATAACTTCAGAAACAAAAAGAAATACATTGTATCATTTACAGAAGAGTACATTATAATTTATTAGTGAATATTATATTTTGTACTGATCACTTAACCTAAATTGCGGAACAGGGATATTTTTCTTTGTTACTTTCTAGGATGGTTTACAGTTCTAGAGAATGAACACAGTATTTTTTTTCAGATGCTTTCAGATGCTATAAGTTGTTAAAGTAATGTTAGAGTAATATATAGAAATTCTATTTTCTTTTTTAGAGAATCCTAATAACTTTATTCCTATTAAACTCTGTCAAGCGGTGCTATGAAAGGCCATAACGATCAGTGTAAATTACTCTTATCAATGGCCATTGTTACTTATGCTTTTTAAATTACATTCTGGTCTAGTGATCTGCTCCCTTTGGTCTTTCCAGTCCATTGGCCTGGAAATGAAACCAGAAGAGCTTTGAATAGTCTTTTGAAATATATGTTTCATTCTCTCCTCTATTTACCTGAATAACTCCTGTTATAAATAAAACTAGTGATAGAAATGCATTGAGCATACACACACACAGACTTATATTTTAGGGGGCTTTTATTACAATTTTAGAAATGTATTTTAGTAGGTCATATGTTTTAATTAAAAATATAGTAATATATATGTTTGATACACGTGCACACATATCTTGGGTGGTATCATCAAAAGATAATGTTTTTTGAAAGACTAGGCATTAACTAGCTTTTGTCTATTCTTTAATTTACTTCATTTTCATACTTAAATATCACTTCAGGAATGGGTAGAACAAAGAGAGAGGGATAAAGCCAAGGAACTAGGAGACAGACACAACATAAACATAGTTTTACTCTATTCCTTTTTTTTTACAATACTGTGTTTCACCCCTTAAACCTTACAGCTCTGAATAGTAAAAGGAATGTGAATGGCAGAGTAATGCTATTGAGGAGAAGACCTGTTCTGAAGTTTTATTGTTTGATACCATTAGTGTATGGTTGGCATTTTTACATGATCAGCTGGTAGATTTTTCCCTTCTGAATTGAAGCCTGACACACGGATTTGACACAGAAGGGAGGGAATCAACATTTTAGGGTTTCTTAACAGGTCCTACAATATCAAGCTCATTTTCATTTGTTTGAAATCATTGGCTGTTCTTGAGTGTGCCACTGGTGCCAGGACTATTGCTATTCTTGGAAGGAATGTTTCCTCTTTGTAGATACCTTCAGGATTGGTGCCAGTTTAGAAATATTGAGCTTGTTTAAAGTGGAGCTAACCCTCCATTTCCATATGCTTCAGCTATACTCAGCAGAGACGACCTGAGCAGGGTGCAGAGCCCAGGGCAAATCAGCCTGTGTGGGTCCCCACCCCTGGATGCAAGGAAGCCAGCAGCAGATTTGGCTGCGGCGGGGCAGGGGTGGTGGAAGGAGGGAGAGGGGCAGAGGGAAGGGTGCTGAGCAGCCAGATATGCTGGATTCAGCTGGGAGGGGTGTTGCTGAGCGGCTGACTGGCCGTGAAGCCAGCAGCAGCACAGAGTCACCGCAGCTGCTCCGCCCAGCTCCATGGGGCTCCCCAACATGCAGGGGCACTCCACCCCAATTGGCACCCCGCTAGGGACGGCCCTGATACTCAGCTCCATCATTTCCAAGCTCTTTCCTTCCCAAACCCATTGGTTTCTTCTGGCCCTCTATCTATCATTGGATCATTCTCCTTCCTTCCAAAAACCTGAGAGAATCTCCTAACTGGGTTCTGCTCCTTGTATTTGTTTACTTAGAGTAGAAGCAAAGATAGAGGCAGATGTATCACTTAGATTTTTACAGTTTTTGACTTGGGACCTTGAGTTGGTTGTGTGATGGTTAGTCAGTTGGTACAGCGCAAGCACCCCTGCATTCATGCCCCTTCCATCCCTCTGCCTCCCACCAGGGTTAATGAGGGAATGTGTTCTATTTCTTTCTGTCTGGTGTGGGGTAAATGATGAAAAGCAGATCTTTCCAGCATAAAAAGCAAGGGTTACCCTGGCTCCTTTGTAGCACTATTTCAATGGAGTCATGGAAAAATTAAGGTTGGAGGGGTCCTAAAGTAGTCTTTTAGTCCAACCCCCTGCTCAAAGCAGGAACATCCCCAATAATATTATCTCAGCCAAGGCTTTGTCTACCTGGGTCTTAAAAATCTCCAAGGATGGAGAATCCACAACCTCTCTGAGTAACCTGTTAAATTGTTTTCCTACCCTCCTCATGAGAGATTTTTTTCCTAATATCTAATCTAAACTTCCCTTGCTGCAACTTGAGACCATTGCTCCTTGTCATGTCATCTGCCACCACTGAGAACAGTCCAGCTCCATCCTCTTTCAACCCCCCTTCAGGTATCTGAAAGCTAATATTAAATCCCCCCTCAGTCTTCTCTTCTGCACTCTTAGTAAGTCCAGCTCCCTCAGCCTCTTCCCATAAGGCTGCTCATGACATAAGCCAGGGATGGGTAATTATTTCAGGTGGAGGGCTGCTTATGAGTTTTGGCAAGCTGTCAAGGGCTGCATGGGTAGCCCTGCCACTTGACAGGTGCCCTGCCCTCTGGTTGCCAACTTGTGACCAGAAGTCCTTCCCCCTAACCCCTGACCTTTGCCACCAGAAGTCCCTCCTCTTGCCCCTGAAGATACTCCTTCAGGGGGTTTATAATCTTTGAACCAAAACAATACCAAATTATATTTTAAAACTTGAATATCTACAAATTCATTAATTTGATTTAAAAAAAATATGTGTGTCCTGATTTACATGCATTTACATAGTGTACATGGAATTGATTGCACAAAATGAAGTCTTACTCTTGTATATTGTGAGGGGAGGCATGGGGGTATGGGAGATGGCTTGGGCGTAAAGGTTTCTATGTGGAGTTTCTAGAGGGTGGATAGGATGAGGGTGTGGGTGTGGCATGAGGGAGCATGTCAGGGCATGTGTGGATATTTCATAGATTTCATAGACATTAGGGCTGGAAGGGACCTTGGAAGATCATTGAGTCCAGCCCCCCGCCCAAAGGGCAGGAAGTCAGCTGGGGTCATAGGATCCCAGCAAGATAAGCATCCAGTTTCATCTTGAAGGTGTTCAATGAAGGCGCTTGAACCACCTCCGGTGGCAGGCTGTTCCAGACCTTGGGGGCTCGGACAGTAAAGAAGTTCTTCCTTATGTCCAGCCTGAAACGATCTTGAAGTAGTTTGTGACCATTCGACCTCGTCATCCCTTGGGGCGCTCTGGTGAACAAACGTTCCCCCAGATGCTGGTGGTCACCCCTGATAAACTTGTAGGTGGCCATCAGATCACCCTGAGCCTGCGCTTTTTCAGGCTAAAGAGCCCCAGGGCTCTCAGCCTGTCATCGTAGGGTCTGCTTCCATGACCTCTGATCATGTGCGTGGCTCTTCTCTGGACTCTCTCAAGCTTCTCCACATCCTTTTTGAATTGTGGAGCCCAAAACTGGATACAGTACTCCAGTTGCGGCCTCACTAAGACCAAGTACAGGTGGAGAATGACATCCCGGGATTTGCTTGAGAAGCATCTATGGAGGCAAGCCAGCGTTTTGGTCGCTTTACTAGCCGCCGCATCGCATTGCAGGCTCATGTTCATCTTGTGGTCAATGATGACCCCCAAGTCTCTTTCTTCCA